AAAGTAAAGGCAGGAGGCATCACAATTCCTGAATTAAAATTATATTACAAAGCTACTGTGATAAAATCAGTATGGTGTTGGCACAAAAACAGACCTAAAGATCAATGGAACAGATTAGAAGATACAGATACGACTACAAACACACTCAGTCACCTTATCTCTGACAAAGAGGCCAAACATATTCAGTGGAAGGAAGATAGTCTCTTTAATAAATGGTGCTGGAAAAACTGACTTTCCACATGCCAAAGACTAAAACTAGACCCATGCCTTTCACCATGCACTAAATGAAAGTAAAAATGGATGAAAGATGTAAATATTAAAAGAGAAACACTAAGTTTACTGGAAGAGAAAGTAGGTAAAAATCTTGATGACATTGGGGTAGGTAGAGAGTTCATGAACAAAAACCAAACTGCATGGGAAATACTTCAAAGAATCAATAACTTGGTTCTCCTCTTATTGAAAAGTTTTTGCATATCTGAAGAAATCAACAATAAAGTTAAAAGAAAACCCATGAATTGGGAAAAAATGTTAGCCCAACTGCCCCTCTGACAAAGTACTTCTATCTAGGACATATAAACAATTAAAAAAAAAATCATGCCTCCCAAATTCAAAGACCCAATTCAAAAATGGGCATCTGAGATGAATACAAAGTTTTCTAATGAAGAAATACTTATGGCGAATAAATATATGAACAAATGTTCAATGTCATTTGTTGTTTGAGAAATGGAAATTAAAACAAAACTGAGATTCCATCTCACCCCAAAAAGAATGGCTATCATCAAGAAATCAATCAATAAGAAATGCTGCAGAGGCTGTGGGGAGAAATGAACCCTCCTCCACTGCTGGTGGGAGTGCAGATTGGTGAAACCACTGTGGAAATCAATTTAGAGATTCCTAACAAAACTAGGATTGGAAGTCCCATTTAACCCAGCTATTCCCCTTCTGAAGAATTAAAGACATCATACCACAGCAATATGTATGCACCCATGTTTATAGTAGCACAATTTGTTATATCTAAAGCTTGGAAACAACCCAGATGCTCATTCACTGAGGAACTGTGGTATTTTTATACTATGGAATATTACTCAGCTATTAAAAAAGATAACCTCGAGGCTTTTGTATGTAAATGGATGCAACTAGAGATAATTCTAATAAGTGAAATAAATCTAACCCAGATGAGTAAACTTCATATTTTCTCCTTGGTGTAGGAACCTGGAAAACTAGGTAAAACTCAAAATGTGCAATAGATGATGGGAAAGGGACAGAAATTGCTCAAAGGAAGGAATGACTGGGATGAGGCAAAGAAGAAGTAAGAAAACCGGAAGACAAAACATAAATATATATATGAATAGCTGTGATGACTGCATTGCTGTTGTCTGATGGTGTATTGAAATGAACAGTTAATTCTCACAATTTTTTATGTTCTGATACACTTTACATGCTGTGTCTGGTGGTCTGAGCAACTGATTTAAAGGTAACAATGTGCAATGGAATTGCAATGATGACCTCCTACCATCTTGCCTAGTGAAACTCTGTATTATCTCTAATGTTTTATTGAGGAATTATTTTCTTATTCTCTCTAATGGTTTCACGAATCTTTCATTCTTACATCTAATAATCTGCGCAAGGTAGTTGAGGATAGCAATATGCAATGTAACAACCACTGTTGATTTGTATTAATTTTTCTTGAGATCCCGTATCACTTTGAATGTTCTTGCTTTGATTTGTTTATGTTCGTGATACTGGTATGCTCCTACTGTTCTATTTTTTTGTTTGTTTGTGTCTTATGTTGTACTCTCTTTAAAATTAAAAAAAATTACCACTAAGTTATACAGCTATTGAAAGTAAGGAAATAGACTAAAAATCTGTGGGAATACACAGAGAAGAAAAGGAGATAACAGGGGAAAAACACTACCATTCACAATAAATTTTTACCAAAATGGAGACAAAATACTTTATCACCTCAAGAGGTATTGAACATATCGTAGTTCACATTGTGGTTGGCAGGTGACACTACTGATTGGCTATTGCAACACGCATTATGAGTCCCTATTGTATTTGTCTCTTAAAATGGCTAGAAAAGCTCATTACTCATTTTCCCAGCCTTCCTTGCCATGAGAAGTGGCCATGTGAAACAGTTCAGGCCAATGAAATATAAATAAATACCTATTGGAAAATTTCTGCAAATAATTTTGCATTCTATATAACAGAGATATAGGTTCCTTACAAATATTTCTCCATTATGGTTTGTAATTAAATGTCCCCCAAAACCTCACACTGTGTTAGATGGAGCTTTTTGGAGGTGACTGGAGTTAGGGTGTGTGATGCTGGGATCAAGGATGTGATGCTCACATTGATTTATGGCCTGATGCTGGGATTAAGACTGTTTCACATTTGGTGTGAGTGCTACCCACACTTAGGGATTAGATATAAGGAGTAGGAAGAGGGTTGCTGCTTGCTGCCTTCTGGGTGCCCTATTTTGTCATGGACCATTCCTTCTCTGCCATGACATCCTGCCTTGGAGCCAGCTGACTATGGACTGAAACCTCTACAAACTGTGAGCTACAGTAAATCTTTCCTCCTTTAACTTTGTGTGTTGAGTATTTTGTCTCAGTAACAAGAAAAGTAAACAAGATAACCCCTGTGCTTTTCGCTTTTCTATGACTTGACTGTGACTCTGACGTTTAGAGCTGGAGTGACATAACTGTACTTTTGTGGGGAAGGTAAATGCAGTTCTCTGATCTCTGATCAATGATAGGTTTGGGCTTCTGAAATGTTGTTAGATACCAACCAACCTCTAGATTATTATTTATACAAGAAAACTAAATGCTTGTTCTTTTAAACAACTGGGATGAGTTTTTCTGTTACTTGTTGCAAAAAAACTACTAAATAATCCCGATAACAAAAGTATGTCCTAGAATCACCAGAAGTGGGTAGATTATGCTGTGTGTTATTGAAGTTTTAGATGCTAATAGATAGCAATCCTGTTCCTTGAGTGTGGAACCAATTGAGAGACACTATTCATAAAGAAATTAAATATTAACAATGCATCAAGTTTCACATTAAAGGATGTAGTGGGAATGGATGGAAATATCATTGGTAACATATGCCCCATTATTAGATAGATTTAGTAACTCCAGTCTAGGCAAATGGACTGTAACTGGCTCAACTTATGAAGCCTTCATTGGAGAATGGTTAAGAATGTCCTTTCAAGAGAAAGTGAGTTTCAAAGCACAGGAAAGGTGAAGGTTGAGGTATGAGTTAGTTCTTTATTCAAAACTAACCGATCCTAAGCAAAGAGCAACTGTCTATGAGTACAGCCCACTCTGCTCCATCTTCATACTGCTTAATGCCAATACCTTTTCTATTTTAGATACTCTTGGGTCCATTCCTCGTTATTTCTGATTTGTCAGAAGAATGCTCTAAAATGGATCACAACATTTGGATGTCCAGCTACACTGTCTGAGAAAGTTCATCTCTTCTTTTTTCCATCTCAAATACTATATTGAATTAAAAATCAATGTAAATAAAACCCAACAATCTGGATATATTCCAAATTTTAGTGTGAATTTCCTTTTAATATCAAAATCCAGGGAAGAATTAACAAAGATTAAATTTCCATGCAGTTAAATCCTATTTTAGTTTTAACCCACAATCCAATGTCCGTAGCTATGTGATTTACAACCTTAGGTCCAAAGAAATTAATATTCTCCTAATTTCATGATTTGCTCAGATTTAGTCAATAGAATTCTCCACACTTGGAATTCTTTAGAATATTTTACCACTTGCTATTTTTTTCAGGGCCTCAGAAGCTATATTACTTTAATGCAAATTTCTTTTGTGCTTCATATTTAAAGATCTTGAGAGCTAACAGGCTATATGAGATTTCCACGTCATTGCCATCTTGCTTGTGAAATTTACATACAGTGAACCTCAAACCCTAAAGCAGTTATCCTAGCTGAAATTAGAATCTTAGAGTTCAGCACTCAAATATCATCATAAAGACTTGGAATTGCCTGAAAAAAGAGACAGATGCAGAACAGATCATAGTATCTGTGCTTCAAAAAGAACAGTTAGCTGAGAAAAATGTCTCTAACCTGTGAACTCAGAGAAAAAGACAAAACAAACCCCTCAGCAGGAAAAATTTTGGTGGAGAAGGTTGAAAACTTTAAGGGGATGATATCTAGTTTTACATGTAAAACTAGAATTTCTCTCTAAGAGTAGTGTTGTTCTTTTATTTTGAGAAGTTTACATTTATTAAACAGACTTGGTTGCATTTTTGTCTCAAATAATATATTTTATACTAGTAAATAACCACTTTTTTATTCCTTACATTTTTGTGCATCCTTGCATGAATGAGATTGGAGTTCTGTCACTGGTTGAGTTTGCACCCTATCTTTTCATCAGGAATTTCTGGAATCATAGGTTTCTCCTACAGTTTTTTGATTTAGCACAGTACACACTGCATAGATTTCTGAGAATCTGTTCTTGACGATTCTTCTTTGAGGAATTTTGTGAGGTTCACTGACAGCCTTGTCTTAAAATGGCTTGATTTATGAGGGTCTTACTTTATGATGTTATGAAAGTGATACACATTCAGCAGATACTACCCTGCCGATTCCGAATTCTGATCTTCTCCCAGGCCAGTGATGATGCCATATATATGATACTCTCTTGGTGACACTGGGAGTAACAGCACAAATGTGGGAATAAACACTGCACTAGGTTGCCACATTTTTTGTTGTGGTTTCTTATCCTATTTTATGTTCAAAAACTATATAGGATATTCAACACCCTAAAAAACAGGCTTGCATTTGATGACTTTGGCTAGTTGTAGACTAACGTCTTTGGACAGCATTTATGTTAAGATAGGCTAAACTGTGATGTTTAATGGGTTAGATGTATTAAATTCATAAAGGCAAAATTTTTATTTTTTTGTTTTTTTTTTTTTTTGTTTTTCTCTGGTACCGGGAACCGAACTCACGACCTTGCGCTTGCCAGGCAGGCGCTTTTGCCGCTGAGCTAAATCCCCAGCCCCCAAAATTTTTAAATTATGATGGATTTATCAAGATCTAACCCCTTGGGAAATTAAGGCAAATTTATCTTCAAATTGCCATTACATCACTCTCCGTTTTCTTGAAAAGTGGCCAGATTTTGTGACATGTTCACAGCTTACTTTAGTTTATCTTCTGTTCTACCTCATGTATGGTGGGCATTCGTTCCACATGCCTGTCTTCTTTTTTTGACCCAAATAATTTTTTACTTTAAAGAGAAAAAAAGCTAAAAACAATGATATTAAAAATTCAAAACAAGATAGGAGGAGAGTAACAATGGTTAATACATTGCATATTGTTGTTTAAAAGAAGATAGCAGGAGTGTAGCAATGGTTAATACATTTCAAAGTAGTTGCTCAGATTACAAGATGTAGGCATGAAAAACTGATCAAACAACATAAACACAAACCTTTCCTCCTATTGTGTAGAGGTGGGGTACTAGGAATCAAATTCATTTCCTTCTTTTTTGGGAGGGTGTGCTTGTTGGCCCTCTTTTCAAGGAAGTGCTAGAAATTAGTGGTTTACTATCTTAATCAACATATAATAATTATATAATTAATATTATTATATAATATTTTGTATTAATTAAAATAATACACTACTAATTTAAATATATATTTAAAATATATAAACACACACATGCATATATATATGCTTTCACACTGAGCTACATCCCCATCCCATTTTTTGTTTTTATTTTGAGATAAGATCTTGCTACATAATTAAATTTCCCAGGCTGGCCTCAGACTTGTGATCCTCTAGCCTCAGCCTACTGGACTGCTGGATTTGCAGGAATTTATATCCCAGCATGTGATTCATATTGGTAAATCTTCCAAGTGATCATGGATCAGATCTAGTATATATTGTCCTGTTTTGGGATTGGTTATTCTCTGTCTCTCAAATAGATCAGGTTGCTTTATTATGTTATTCAAGTCAACTCTATATTTACTTCTTTTGCCAACTCCTTGTCTTATCACTCAGTGAATGAGGAATATCAACATCAGCAAATATAACAATGGATTTCTCTATTTTCCCTTGCAATTCGATCAGCTATTACTGCATCCCTGGTCCCTAGTTGCTTTTACTAAGGTATAAATATGCAACTTTAGAAGGGATGGTTTTATATTTTCCTGACTTCTAGCTTCTACTGAGTGATTTTAGTCTGGTCTGAGATTTTGGCTGTTTTTCTTATTATACTTCAAGCTCCATTGAATTTTTTGATCTGGTATTGACTAAAATACTTTCCCTTCTTCCAGTGACTACTTTGGGAGCCATTAGTTTCAAATATATTACATATCTTTTTTTAAGAATTATGTTCTTTGAATATACAACAAGAATGAAATAACCTTTTTCTTTCATAGGTTTAATCAATGTCTGAAATTATTTCTTCTTTTTTAAAATCATTTCACTGCACCTGTTTTGAGAGTATGATTGAAGTGCATTTTACTGACTACAGTTTTCAGGATTTTAAACCATTTAAATTCCTGCGTAAAATTCAAAGAACTGTTTCATGGATGTACTATTTTAAATTACTTTTCTCTTTTCCCTCTTTGACCTGTGTTGTTTAATAAGAAGTTCATTCTTTTTTGCTTATTGAAAGACCCCTACATCCTGCTTCTAGAACCTTGATCAGAGTTTTTATATTAACAACACTGAAGCTGATTGAGAAATGTATGTGATATCTTAGAATTATTAAGAGCCCAATCTAGTTTTTGGAAATAAAATCCTTTTCATCACAAATTGAGGCACGCGATTCTTTACTTACACCCTATATTAGGACCACTAACTGAGAATGTGATCCATCTTGCTCAGTGTTTCAACTCATCATGGATCACACCTGGGATGTATTCTGCTGTTTTGGGATTGGTTATTGTCTGTATGTCATTTTGATCAGGTTACTTGATCACATTGCACTGGTGTGACAATCCTGGTCCCGTGGACCTATGTCCCCAGGCAGTTCAGGATACAGGCAAAATCCAGACACAAACTGCAGGGTCGACAGTTTGTGAACTACCTGTTTCTGTGTCTCCAGTCAGTTCAAGTCTCATACAGGAACAAGATGCAGGCTGGACGGGCAGTAATCACAGACTGCCCATGCCTGAGACCCCCTAGGGGGCCCAGGTGCAAGTAAAGCATGGACTCAAATGCTTGACCAGCAGCACTTGGAGCACTTGCTCACTCGGCGCAGGGTGCATGCAGGGAGGGGCCACACCTGCCCCCTCCAGCTAGAGCCATCCCTGGGGCTTCTCAGTGAGTACCTCCTGTCTGCCACAGGTGCCCAGAGGAGAGAGAATCAATCTGTAATGGCGGCAGGGTCCAGGGTCACCCGCTCTGCCCCCAAGAAGTAGATGGGAAATACCTGTCTCTCTCCATGACTTTCACCTGGGAACTGTGGTGGTTGAAGTAAAGCACGGACTCGAACCGCAGGACCAGCAGCTCTTGGAGCACTCATTCACTCAGCGTGGAAAAATCATAATTGATATGTAAAAAAGATAAAATGAAATCATATAAAATTCTCAATTAAAACCAGTAAAGGAAAAAAGGGGATATAGTTAAAAAGAAATAAAAGAACTTCAATGAAGAAGAAATCTATAAGAAAATAGAAGAACAAAGGCAAGGGACAGAAATGTTCAATGACAAATATAGAAAGGACTTAGAATGAATAAACCAGATTCAAAGAGACTTCCAGGAAAACAAAGCTTCCGCTGAAAGCTGTCAAAACCACTTGAATAAAGCTGAAGATAGAATCTCAGACTTTGAAGACAGCATGGTAGCAAGTGACTGTGAAAGAAAGGATTTTGTAAAATCAAGGATCCAGGAAAAGTTAATTCAACAACTGCAAGATGAGGCAAAGAGGAATAATGTACAACTTATAGGAGTCAATGAAACAGCAGGAGCCAGCACAGCTGACGTAAAAAGAATATTTGCAGAAATACTAGCAGGAAATTTCCCAAGTATGGAAACAGAACCTGATATACAGGTAAATGAGGCATATACAACTCCAACCAACCACAACCAAAATAAAACTACACCCAGACGTATAATAGTCAACTTCCCAGATCTCCAGCAAAAGAACAGAATATTAAAAGCTGCTAGAGAAAAGAAACAAA